AAAAAAAAAATGTCCAGAGAATATTAGGGTTATACTAACACTGGAAAAAGACTGGAAATAACTAAGCACTCTTATCTCTTCCTGAAGACATGTATATATGCAGATACTTTCATAACGTGATCAGACAGTGTTTTTAATTTATTTTTTTTAAGACCTCACTTCAGTGTTAGTATTTGTCAGTGCAGTGTGAGGCTGTGAACAATCTGAGCTCCAAAGCATCCCACTTTATCAGCTGGATGACACCCAGTGATAAGGGCTCAGAGTAGCAACTCCCAGGAGAAGGAACAGACTTTAGTCCTGGGGCACTGATGCCACACATGGACAATACAAGACATCCCATGTGAAATCACTGTGGAGATCCCCCTGTCAGTGCTTGCCAGCTCTTCCACCCCAGGACACTCAGTAAAAAATGCCTGAAAAAAAAATGCAAAGATGTTGAAATTTCAGAAACACTCTAGTATTTTTAATCTGTATGCACATATACATGCGTATGTACACATGTGTACTTTGTCAGGGACATGCCCACTCCAGGGGATGGCAAGCAGACCCCATTGGTGCTGGCTCCCTTGCCCAGAAGCAGTGGCACAGCCTCTAATCTGGGCATCAGATCTTCAGAAATTGCTGGAGGAGGATACGTTGTTCTGTCTTTGCCATTTCACAAAGCCTGGGGAAGATGGGTGAATCAGATTATAGATGGCTCTGTTTTCCAAGTCCTGGATTTTCTGGAAGAGATAGAACAATTTAGGTTGAGTAGAAAAGCTGTCAAATACAGTGGTGGTGACTCACCTCATTAACTGCATCTTGCAGATGACCTCACACCTCGTGAACTTTTCTGAAAATTTATCTTTTCATGGCTGGACACTCATTTGTCGTGTTGACAGGCAGTGGCCTTCTAGGAGCACTAGCTAGTGTTATGGTATCACTGAGGCCAAACAGAAAATGGAGACAACGGCAAGAAGTGTAAAGCTGCTTGCTAGTCTGTCTCTAAACCAGGTAGGTGCGTAAATGGTCATTGTGAATCTGCACATGGAAATACAGCCATTCTGATGGTATTGAGCAACTTGATCTACTTCAGCCTCAAATAAGGTATATTTCATTATAGGTGAGGAGGAAATAGATGTTCACAGGCTGTTGACTACCCTTGGACTGATCAAAATGACTCAGAGGAAATACAGATGTATGATGAGGAGCATCAGTGAGACGGGAGCCATTCCTCTATCTGGAGCTAGCAGTGCTTTCTATTGTGAAAACATGCCCAGCTGTTTGTTTTCAGACGATCTTAAATGTCCTGTTAGTGTTTAGTGGAAACATGTCGGGGTCAAGGGTTTCCCTCAGGAGTCCTCTGAAAGAGCTTGTGAAATATGGAATCTGAAAATCAGCCAGAAAAGATATTTTTGGTAAGGTGAGTTATGTGAGGATGAGGACTGTCCATCAGGCTTAACCTACAGGAGAGGTTAAGATTGACATTTTCTAGAAAACTTACAGAGAAAGGAATCTGTATCTTGGTCTGACAGAGGACACTCTTGTAAAGGATTCACTCAAGTCTTCACTATGTCTTATAAGGACAAATCTGAATTTTCTCATTTGAGGAGGGGTCTAAATATTTCTGGGTGGGTAAAAGTAGGTTGCAGTGATAGAAACAGCCGCAAGCCAAGGCAAAGCCAGTGTGTGAGGGTAACCCCAAAAACTGAAGGTGTTATGGGAGGTGGCAGCAAAGAGTTTTCATGATGATTGAATATTAATTAGTGACATGGCTATTAATGATGACAGTAATTAACAGAGGAAGGAAAGACTTGTCATTGTCCCGAGGGTGAGTAATCAGTCTTGGCAGGTGATAAATAATGGTTCAGCAAACTCAGCAGAACGATAATCTGTCTGCCTCAGGACAACTGGAGAACAGCTATAACATCTTCCAGGCTCTTGGCAACATTCAGGAATGACTTCATGTTTTTAACAAGAGGCAAATTAAAATCCCTGTTCTCAAGTGCTGTTTATACTCCAGAGTGCCTGGTCACAGGAGTTCTGGTTGAGTTGGTTCCTTCAGTTTACTAGCCCCTTTAAACATTTCTTTTTAAATCTTGATAACAGGGGGGAGAAAGACTAGGGGACCAGCTTTCAGTGTTACTTGTATTTCTCCTTGTAGTTTGATGAAAATTTAATAGATTCCCCAAGAGAGACCTAAACCTGGGGACATGATCATTCTATTTAAAAATGGAGTGGGACTTAACCCTGCATTAAGTATTCCTGTATATCTGGAAAGGGATCATGCAAAGTGCACTTCACCTCCCTTGAGCAAACCAATGCACTACTCTAGATGATATTCAGATATCAGCTGTCACATCACTTGGCAATAAGATACCTTAAAGATCACTGCAAGCCTGTAATCTGAGACCCAAATCAGGAGAAACGGTGGACTTTTTAGTTTGGGGGTTGAAGAGAAAGCCCAGGAAAGATTCTAATTTAGCTTGAGGACAGCATTTTGTGAGGTTTGGTTTTGTTTCTAACAATACAGAAGCACTTTGGTGTGAGTCATCTTGAAATGGTTTTCTAAGCCTAACTGTTTTTTTCCTGTCTTTAGGATATTTTTGCTTTGTAAAAGGGAACATCAATGTTTATAAAATGGAATATTTTATTATCAAACTTGTTAAAACAACAGTTACTTGGCTCTGAACGCTTTCTCCATATGTCATCCAGCTAGTACTCTTCACTAGATGTGTTCTCATCTAGCAGATAGTTTTGGACCCCTCAGATATCTTTTTCTGAATAAATCTCCTATTCACAAAAAAAAGGTGTGACTGTTTGATACACCTGGCAAGCTGGTTTCTGGAGAGACAGGAAAGTGCTGGCACTGTTGGCAGAGGCATTGGTCAGATGTTCTGCAGTTCTGGTGACCCCAGTGCAAAGAAATGGAATTTAAATGGGAAATGTTGCTGAATGGTAACGTAGAGGGAGAGATTATCTTAAGAGGATATTAAAAGAGTTTAGTGGGTTTAGTGAAATGGAGGTAGGGAGGCAATGTGTCAGCCCTCTGTATGTAGAAACACTCAGTAGAAATTATCAAGGAAGAAGAATAATTCTTCTGTTAAATGATAATGCAGATATGATATCAAATGCATATAAATTGCATATTAATAAACTTAGGCCAGGAAGATACAAGAAGAGTCTATCCAAAAAAAAAAAAAAAAAAAATTATGGAATAACTTTCCAAATAGGATAGTGGCAACTTAATTTGCTCCTGTATGGAGCTGGGAGGTGTGGAGAGTGACCGCAGAGCTGAGGATACAAGCTTGTGAGATAGGTCTTCTAGGGTCTGGTTCATTGATATCTTCAAGGCAGATGGAGACAATGCCCAGCTGCTGCCTGTTGGTCACGTCTATTGGCCTAATATTTAAGTGAAAGAAGATATTTCCCTGATCTTCAGGAGGTGTGCTGATTGTCTGCGGAGGACGAGTAGGTTAGGTCCATATTTCTGCCTGCTGCTGGAGCCTGACTGAAGAGGGTTTATTGGTGCTCCTTGTGGAGTTGTGGGTCAAGTAGCATTGCCAGGGGGAGTGGGAGCTGCCATCCCCTCTGCATGGGGTAGAGCCTCATGATATTGCAGGCTCAGACCTGCAGATATTGCAGGCACCTGGGACACTCAGCAGTGCCTGTTGTTTCTGTGGCACCTGGTGTTTACCATTTGCTGAGGGTGTGGGAATGCTCTGGACCTGTGGAAGGCAAAATCTCCTTCAGACTTTTCTAGAGCAGGCGTTGTTTGGGTCATGATGTTTCTTAAATTAGCCACCGTGTCTGAACTCAGAAGCACTCCATCCAAATAAGATTCTCCAAGTTTTGTGTAGTAAGCGGGAACCATACAGTTGATGGGTTCCTTTTTGTGTGCCACCTTCAACTGGTAAAGGACAAAGCACAGCACTGAGTATTCCCAGGGCTATTAGCCTCCTGCATGTGAAAGCAAATACTTCTCAACAAGTTCACTGTAAGCTGAGAAGGGCTTGGTGGTATGTCTGCATCCAGACCTGGCATTGTGAGGTCGTGCTGCACGCTGCTCTGACTTGGCATGGACTTGCTAAATTGCCTCCAAGTGCCTTTGCTTATTGCCTTTGACTTTGGACAAGTCAACTTGGCTGACTTGTACACACTGTGATGTTTCATTTGAGGCTTAACTTTCTGATAACGGGGTCTAACCTAAGTTTTGCTGCCCTGTCCTGCTGTATTTTGATAAAAGGCCTCGTCTTCTACTGAACAGTGACAAGTTTTCCACTTCTATGATTTCCATTCAAGCAACAGAGAGGTTGTATACATGCAGAGGATCAATCCTTGAGTTGTTTATGCTATTTATAAGATAGCAACAACCTTTGTACTACTGGATGGGCCTTGAAAACCTAATAAACTTCCTGATGAACCTTAAAGACTCACTGCTCTGCTGCTGGCCACCATCCTGCTGGTGTGGTCACTAGCAGGTGATGGCTCATCAGTGGCCTGGTTACAGGCACACTGCATGCCACTTCCTTCTCCAAGACACTGCTTGACTTTGACATAAGCAAGACTTTCCTTTGTCTTTTATTGACTGATAACTCAGTTCTGTACTTTTAGATTATTGCCCCTGACATTACAGGAGCGAGGTGCCAGTAAATGCTCCTTTGTCCCCTCCCTAGCTAGTGCTTGCAGAAAAGTAACTCCCTGTATGCTGAGATGAGAGAGAAGCAGCTGGGAGAGGACAAGGTACATGGAGCCATTAGTGTAATATCTGACTTAAATTATGTCAAGTCTCCTATCACACAGAATACTTCTTAGGATGTAGTGCTTGTAAATAACCATATAATTACAGTGTAGCACAAGAAGGAAGAACATTCTGAAACCTCAGTGGAGAGAAAAAGGAAAATGGAGTAAGATTTATGTCAGTTCTATTTTACCTGTCTCAGTGTTAGCTCTCTCTAGGGCTCGCAGATCCTGCGGTCTCAGCATTTAATGCTTTCTTCACTCATTTTTGTTTTTTTAAGGTGCTGACATCGTGCAGTGGCTTATGAAGAACCTCAGCATTGAGGATCCAGGTAAGGTGACCACAGCTGGGGAAGAACAGATACTCCATCTATATTGTGTGTGCCATTAAACAGTAGATAGTATTTTGCTGCGGTCTAAAATACCAGTAAAACAGCAAGGCTGATTTAAGCACTGGAGTAAAGGAAGAGGGAAGGAGATAAGAATCAGCATCTTAATTCAGGCACAGAAAGCACTTTGTAGGAGTCTTAGCCCGTCTGTGAAGTTGTTGCTATCAAGGAAAGACTGATTGATTTTATGGTTGTTCTCAGACTGTGAAAGGAAGCTGGTGGATGTGTGTGGTTAAGCAGGCAAATGCAGTGGCAGGTTTTTGTGATTTGGAGAAAGGTAGCCATGACTGACAGGATATACTGGTTAAGGATGACACAGACACCATCATGGCATCAGGTGGTGGCTGCTACTTTATCACAGCAGATAGATACATGGATAATCAGCCATAACCAGGGATTGATGCATGGGCATGGTCCAAACAGTTCAATCTCCAGAAAAACGAAATCAGGTTGGAACAGTTAAGAACTACTGGGAAAAGAGAAAGAAAAGATCTGCAGGTCCAGAAGTTTCTTTTTGTTTTCTAGAAAGAGAAAAACTCCAGCACCTCACCTCCCAGTTTGTTTCTGGTGCCTACTGTCACCATGTAAAAGCAGAGATAGAGGCAGTGCTGTCTCACCCAGGTCACCCCTACACACACACCGCATCTCATGAGTCCAGTGAAGTCCCAAATCTGAATTTCAGCTGCAGACAATAGCTTTATTATCTACCTGGGGGTGCACTGAGCAGCTGATGTGTATTTTGCTACTATGTGAAAGCCGATGCAGCTTTTGACAGCTGACCTTGGTTGAAAATGTGTGCAGATGTGCCCCATCTACATATCCCATAGGAAGTGTATTCCCCTTTGCCTCTGCACCATTTCCTCTAGGGAATGGCAATGCTACGTTGTCAGGATTTGTCTTCATGAATGAACATGCTGGTAGTGACCTGGTGTTGCAGGTCTTTGCTGGATTTGGTAGAGGCAAGGTGGGCTTCACTGATGGAACAGGCTTCTTGTCAGCTGTCACCTGTGGTAGATCTTATTTGCTTTGAATTGAGTCAGATTCCAGAGCCGAACTGATATGTGACATTTTGTAAACACCAAACCAGCAGGTTAAACATTTGAACAGTGTTCCATCTGTATTGCAAGGGTGATTTCTGCTCCCCTGCTCTGCACGGTTTGGCTGGAAGGCGTGAGGATGCGGTGTAGGTACAGAGAGGCATGTGTGCCCCAGGTCTTCAGGTGAGCCATCACCAGGGCTGCTGCTGAAAGCAGAAGAGTGTGCAGTGCCCATCCTCCTGACAGGCCCCTGCTGGTTTCTCTCCCTCCCAGCGGAAGCGATCCACCTGGGGAGTCTCATCGCCGCGCAGGGCTATGTCTTTCCCATCTCAGACCATGTCCTGAGCCTGAAGGATGATGGCACCTTCTATCGTTTTCAGGTCAGTGAGCCCTCTGCCTCCCTTGGGGACCTTTCTACTGTCCCTGCAGTAATACTCCTGAAGTCACCCACTCTTGCTTCCCAAGCACCTGTTAGGTTAATGAAGCCAGGGATTGAGGCTGTCTTGGCTGAGGCCATAGGAAGTCCCTTAAAAAATCTGCTTTAGAATCCCAAATCACTCTCTTCTACTTTCTGACCCATAGTTTTTACATAAATGCATGGATATGACCTGTGGTTATTTTCAATATGTGATTTCAAGGCTGTTATACTCAGATTTGAACAAAACCAGTAGAAAGAAAATGGCTTTCAGGTTCTAACCCTGTCACAGAATTGAGTAGCCATCCTCCTGTGCAAAATGGATCAGGGCAAACTTTGGAATTGGACATTCAAGCTCTGGCACAGCAGAAAATGCAAATTTTTATCCTCTAATGGTTACAGATTGGTGTGGGAGGGGGCAAGCTGCAGGCTTTGGCTCTCTTACAAAGGCTATGTAACCTTGGCAGTCACCTAAGCTGGGACATCTCTACCCTTTGGTGTCCCTGTGCCTCCAGATGTGTTGAATTTTTAAAGCATCTTGGGCTTGATTTCCATGCCCTGTCCAAAATCCACTGCTGTCAGCTTCCTAGATAACTGAGTGCTTGTGACAGATTGTATAACTTAGAAAAAAGCAACAAGTTCAAACCTGGAGTCCTGCTGGCTGAATTTGTGTTTTTTTTCTGTTACACAATCCCATCCAAGTCCTCCATCTTTCCTCTAACCTTTTCTGCTCGCTCTCCTGTTCCTCCTTTACTTTTTTTTTTCACTTTTTTTTCCATTTTTATTTGAAAAGCCTGCTCTCCTCATTGCATCTCATGTTGCTGCTGCTCATGCTCAGTGCCACACTGCTAATGTGGCATTGTGTTATCATATGAGACCAATGTCACAGTGAACAAAGAAGCCCAAGAGATCACAGAACTCCCCTTATCTCACCCCACTTTTTGGTTACCTGGCATCATTCAGGACTTTTTCATTATAATTGCCTTGCTTTTCTGAAAGTCCTGCTCCTCCTGAACATAAAGGTTGACAGAAGCAGGGGTAATGCTGATTGTTCATTCAGTTGTATTTTTTTTTCCTCTACTTTAAAAGAGCAGCACCATAAGGAGTTGCCCTGTGCAGCTCTCAGGAGCTAGATTTCAATATAATTTAATTTATTTTCCTTATTTGAAGCCTGTGTAAACCACATCATCAAATTGTCTTGCCTGCTT